CTCCAACTTCAACAGCTACTAGTACTACTCCAACTTCAACAGCTACTGGTTAGTATTGTTGCACCACAGCAACGTCGGGGGTTCAAGATCTTTGTTAGGCCGCCCTAAGACCCACGCCTCCTGTGCAAAAGAGATCTGTGACCTCAATGAAATTTGCCTAGTTAAAAAGTAAAAAAACAACATAGTATTACTACAACTACAAAAGCTACTTTAGTACTACTACTATAACTTCTACTGCATGCTGATTGTCTGACGTGACATTGTTACATACTGACCTTTAATATTGTTCAGGGTACTGTCTGTCGTAGGGGATGCCACCTGGATAGTCCTCCTGCATCATGTGTGCTTCCATGCCGTCCATGGGCATCTCACCTTGGTACCCGTAACCCTGGAAACCACCGTCTAGCTCTGGAAACAGTTACAACATTTGTTTGTTTCAAAACCGACATTTACTGCAACATGCCAACTTTAAACACGGAGAAAGTGTAACGTTGAGGATATTTTTAGACGCAGGGACGAGCTGCTGTGGTTCCTTTGTGACTTTACTGGAGCCTGCTCCGAGGAGACAAAATACTTAAACCATAAAAGGAAAAAAGGAGAGAAAGTGAGAGGAAGGACAGGGATTAGGAGAAAAATGCAAAACAGAGATAGGCTCAGCGAAGGGAAAAGTTTTTACTATGTCCTCATAAAAATAATAATACAAGAGGTCTGTAATAATGAAAAGAATGTTTGGATTCAAATCTAATTAAATCCATCACAACAATCAGAAATAATCCACCGTGATTTGTTGTGATGAAGAAAAGTTCTGCTCACAGCTGCCAGATCTCTGTAACTAAAGTCTGCAGGCTCTGTGCTGCCGTGGAGCGAGCCGCCGCTCAGGAATGTGCTGCAAGAGCACATATCAGCTGGAGTTACTCACCCTCTGCACAGTTTACGTCCATGACGACGCTGTTGTGTGCCTGCAGAAAGGTCAACATGGAAAGGTCAAACACAGCCAACGCCATTTAAATAAACAGCCGCCGTAAATTCAAACAGAGCGGTGATATAAAATACAAAAAGTCAAAGCTAATATTTTCAACTGAACGCAAATTTAATGAATTTAAATGTGCTGACGTCCGGACAGCAGAGGGGGCCGCGCACTCACCGCCTCCCAGGCTATGGGGTCGTGTTTGAACAGAGTGTGCGTCAGCTCCACGGACACGCGCTTCTTGTAGTCCGACGTCTTATCCTCAGAGATGCGGAAGAGCACAGCAGCGGCGTACGTAGCTGGAGAGAAAGATTGGACGAAACGTTCAGCGAGGCCGAAAACAAAACAAACGTGGGCCTTTCAGCTCTACAAGAAGAGGGTCGTTCCTGAGAGATAAATAAAAGTTGCGATCATCTCTACTTTTATGTTTGGATCTTGGAGCATCTAGTTGATATGATAACATAAAAACGCTGTAGATAAAATAAAATATAAACTTTAGAATAAACAGGGAACCAGTGACGTGAGGGTTAAACGCCATCACTTTCTTGTTACAAGTGCTCTATTTTTCGGTCCATAAGGCGCATTAAGCAAAACAAAACGGTCAAATAAGCCAAACTTTATTCAACTCATTCGTAATAACTCTCAACATTGTTCAGTTGTAACACATAAAATCGGTTTGAGGTCAGTAAGCACAACCAGAATTAATACACGAGGCTCACTGTCTATTTTTGAGAAAATTAAAGGATTTTAACTGCGCCGTATAGTCCGAAAAATACGGAATTTTCTTTACACGATCTGCTTGGTTATCATGGAGTTACAAAACGCAGAATTAACAGCATAGATAAGCTTTGTTTTATTTAAATAGACTTGAGGAACACGTTATGGCTTAACCTTGAATAAAGTAATAACAGAGAAAAAAAGAACTGTTTTAACTGATGCAAAGAGCAGTTAAACTCATGTGCAGGTTTTAAACAAACAAACAAAAAAAAAGACTATAATGTTAAAGGATATTCTCAAGAGCATTGGTGAAGTGTGACATCCCAAATAAAATGACTTTTATTTAGAGATAAAATAAATAAAATTGTAGATAATAATCAACATAAGAGGAATGTTGATCAAACCTGTGACCAGTTTCAGTTCAAGTACCTGGAAACTGCACTTAAAGTACAACTCTCTGTCCATGAGTAAATGCTACGTTACAGAAAGTTAACCGCGGCGTGTTATCTGGAAGCCTACCAATGCCCTCGTTGTTGGAGTGCAGCAGCTCCATCAGTGGAGACGCCGCCCCCTCGGCGTCGATTTGCTCAGCCGACGGTTTATCCAGGGCCAGCTCGCACAGGGCGCCCGCCGCCACACGCTTCACGTTGTCCACTGGAGAGTAGAGAAGCTGCAAACGAGAGGACGACGGCGAGTGAAATAAAACCCGACAGGATGAACTTCAAACCGACCGGCCGGGAGTTCCTACCTGAACAAAGAGAGGAATGGTCTGCGTGTTGGCGATTTCTCCTCTGTTGATGGGATCTCTGGCCAGGATGTGCAGAGCTCCGGTGCAACCCTCCACAATCTCCTCCATCCTCACTCCATCCTGATATTCAGAGAAGAATCGTTATAATTTCCACCATCAGTGAGCTCCACGTGATGCCAGCCCTTCACCCACCTGGTATGTCTGCTGGTTGGATGAACCATGTTTCTGAGCATCCTGGTGGGCTTTGAGCAGCAGGTTGACCAGACGGGGAATGACTCCGGCTTCCCTCAGAGGGGCCTGGTTCTCTGGGCACAGGGCAAGGTTACGGATCAGGCCAACCACAGCCTAAAGTGGAGAAATACACAAAAATAAATCATGAAACATTCGTTCAACATCATTTGTTCCATCTGGTTGATTGACCTTCTGGCTCTCTGCCCCGACAGCTATGCTCTTTATCCATCTGCCCACACTCCAGTTTTATTTTTATTTACTCACGGAGGTGCTTTTCATCTTCAATTTCTACAATTTGTTCTCTAAAACTACAATATTTTAGGTTTTCGCTCATCCCCTTGCTCCCGTTCTCACATTTTGCACTTTTTGACGGGATATAGATGCTTCATTTCTTTTTCTGATGTAGGTGGAGGACAAAGGTAAAGATATCAGACCATTTTAATGAGGAGTTTCCATCAACACACTTTAAACTAAAGGGTATGTACAGTGCATGGAGTCAACCCAATTCAACATGGCTGCCACAACCAACCAATCTTAAACACAAAAACCAGCTGTAAATGAGTCAATTGTGCAGGTATTGAACTAAAATTTAGTGTGGTAGTAGTTGAGACTTATCCTGACCACATACTCTGAGCACTTCACATTGCATGACATATTTGCTTTAAACTTTGGCATCAGCTGTTGGTTTCAGCCCTGTCTGTTAGCAAAATATTAACCACCAACTGAGGCAGTAATTATTGGCTCAGCCTTAAATGGCCACACCTCGGTCAGTTTTACTGATATTCTGCAAATATGTGTTGAGGCAGGAGTAAGAATCTGAAGGTAGGTGTAGATGTAACACCAGAAAATGAGGTCTGGAGTCAGATTCCCTCCGCTTCCATGTTTAAAATAATTTCCAACCATCCATGTGCCCACCTTGACAACTGGAAAGCGGTACGGTGGGTTGACCAGCTTAACAATGGCGGGGATGCCGTAGTGGTTCCTCACTGCATGCTGGGCCAGCTCAGCGTTCTGGTGGCGTGAAGTCAGGTGCCGCAGAGCGCAAACCGCCGGCTCCGCCACATCCTCCTTCTCCCCGGCGCGCAGTATGGTGTGGATCAGTGCCTCGACGCCGTTGCTTTGGGTGACCAGAGATTTATTGTGGGCGTTGTTGCACGTGAGGTTGGACAGGATGCCCGTGGCGCAGGTGAGCATGTTGAGGTCATCAGAACTGAGGAGGCCTACCAGAACCTGCAGCAGGCTGTCCATTCCCTCCTGGACAGGAAGAAGGGACAAACTTCTCATGAGTTGAACATTTGTAAGCGGATATAAAGATGTTTAAAGAATGAAGCCGGACCTGCTTGGTGGCAGCGTCAGACAGGTTCCTGAGTGTCCACAAGCAGTTCTGCATCAGGCGCTGGCTGGATCCAGAGAGATGTTTGCCCAGAGCCTGCATCCCACCTGAAAGCAAAGAAAAAATAAATCAACTCTCTTTCAGAGCCCTGCTGTGCTCCTGAACCGGACTGCATTCGTTCCACTTGTTAATATTATTGCGTTTTAAGTTTTATGGGTGCACTTTGACTCGGTTTACAAAAAAAAAACATGCAATATATTTTAGTTGAACCAGTTCGAGCTGCAGAAGAACTCACTGGAATCACTTCCATCCTTCACTATAAGAGTCCAAACACATACACGTTACCCAAGAACAATAATGTGATAGTTCCTTCACCCAGATGTTCAGAGAGACTTTTTGAGGTTAACACTTGATGTGTTTGAAACTCTGAAACCAGTTCTGTGAGTTCCACGGCAGCAGGAATAAGAAACCACACCTTAGACTGGTTAATAAAATATTGCAGGTTAATCCGTTAATTAGAAGTGTAACCCTCTGATACAACCATAATAATATTAATTATAGCAAATGAAAGAAAAACTGTTGGATTCAGGAGCAAAGTGGGGTTTACTTCCTCTGGCTTACCATAAATCTTAAAATATGACTTTGTTCTAGCCGGTACACATGTGCGTTCTGACACACACACACACATGCACACACATACCCACACAACATACCAGCATCGACAATGGCCGGCTTGTTGCTGGGACACACAGAGAGGACTTTGAGAACACGGCTTGTGGTCCACAGCAGCTTCTCATAGGAATAGTTTCTCATGATGTGAACCAGACCCTCGGGACCCCCGTTGGCGAGGATGATCAGCTGTTAAACAGAAAGTTTGGGTGAAGGATTACAACCCAGGGAGCTAAACACCTGCTAATATCTTTTTAATTCATTGCTTGTAAAACGGTAAAAATTAAATAACCCTCATTTTGTTGCCAAGCGAGCACCTGAACGCGTCTGTTCCCACGCCACACCCAGAACAAAAACACACTCACACAAGTCCACGTCTCACATTACAATATTTGGCAGCTTCAGTGTGTAACAGTCTTTGTCTTGCATCCAAAAGCACAAAATGTTCCACACACACGTGCACACACACACACACCTTGCTCTCCTGGTTCCCGTATGACAGCAGCTGCAGACAGTCGGTGGTGATGGCCAGGAACTTGGGGTTGCTCTTCTTCAGCAGGGGGACCATCCTCTGGAGGCCGTCGGCCAGGCGCACGGCCATCTTGGCGCCCTCCTGATGCAGCAGCAGGTTGTGGATTGTGGTGATGGCATAGAAGAGCACGGCCTCAACTGGGGAGCTAAGGAAGACCCAAAGATTAATCACATCTCCTTTAACTCATTTGGATTTATGTCATTGTCAGTGTTTAGGAGAATTGAGTTCAGAGTTCAAAGCACCTGAGCATACGAACGAGAGCGGGGATTCCCCCGGACTTGAAGATGGCAAGCAGACCCTCCCTCTGGTGGGACAGGTTGTGGAGGATACTGGTTGTGGCTTTGGCCGTCTCCATGTCGCTGGTGTTTTGCATGGCCCGGACCACCGCCGCCACCATCTGAGGGGACTGCGTCATGGCGTGCCGCGAAGCCTCCTTACGGGTGAGCTGGTTGACGATCTGCGCCGCCTTGCTGACCACCACCTGCTCCGGGGAAAAAAAGAACAAGAAGCTTGATCAGAAACCAACCGATGACGTAAAACAGAAATATTTTAATCAACAAGTACAATAAACGAGTATTACTTCGAAAGACTGAAAACAGTAGCTAAAGGAGCAAAACAGTAGCTAAAGGAGCAAAACAATAACTAGAAGTCAAGAGGAGAGGAAAATGGTAGCTCATACTAAAATATCTGTAGCAAGAAGTAAAACAGTAGTTAAACCGAGCAAAAATAGTAACTACTGTAAATAAGCAAAATGGTAGCTAAAGAAGCAAAATGATAGCTCAAATCTAAAAACCAATACATAGCAAGAAGCTAACTGGAGCAAAATGGTAGCTAAAGGTATAAATCCGTAGCTAAAAAACAAAATGGTAACTAAAAGAAGCAAAACAGTAGCTAAATCTAGAAAAGTAAAACAGTAGCTATAAAAGGAGCAAAACGATGCTTAAAAGTTAAAACTGGCAAAACTGTAGGTAAAGAATTCTAAAAGGCCAAATTGTAGCCAAAAGGCAATTTTAGCTACATGACTTATTTAAAATACGTCCGTCTCTCCACAGAGTCCCACTTTCAAAGATCTGATTTATGCTTTTTATGGTTCTGAAACGTTTAAGACTGCTTATTTCATTAATGGATTTATTTCCATATCACAAATAAAAACAAAATATTCCTCTGACTCTGTTGAAAATGATTATATTAGCTGTTTAAAAGTATATCCAACTGTTCTTCATCACCTGGTCTTCGTCGTTGAGCAGTTTGGTGAGTTCAGGGACGGCGCGTGACGCCAGCTCAGCGTCGTCCTGGTAGTTGATCAGATGGACGATGGCCGTCTTGAGCAGCTGCGACGGCTCGGCCAGCCTCTGGACGTTGGTCATCTGGGACGGATCCGTCTGCGTGGACAGGATGGTGGCGCCTTCCTCCAGCGTCTCGGGGAACATGGCGGCTCTCACACGCTGGGCTCTGGTCATCGTGTAATGCTCGTTCAAATCTGGTGAAATCGTGTCAACAGGGTCACTTTTAAAACGTACGGCTGGTTTTAAACCTACTGTTGGGTTCGAGCGTTGCTCGGCCCTACCAGGCTCGTCTTTCATGACGGTGGTGGTCATGGTGTAATGCCTCGAGGTCAGGATCTCGTCGTCATCTCTGATGGTGTTGGCTCCGGACTGGATGCCCGAGTCCAGGCCGTACATCGTCTGCTGCCACTCCTTCACCCTCATCGAGCCGCTGTCCATCTCCCCCACTGCCGAACCCAGAGACATACGAGTTTTAAACGTCCTTTTACATCAAATTACGGCTAAATCCTTAATTTCTTAAACTATTACATTGTGTTACTAAACCAAAACATTTAAGATTAGATGAGGAACAGACGTTAAACTGGCACAATCCCACATAGACCAGTTTATTCACGGTCTATCAGTGAAAAGTCGCTCTAACTTTCACGCCTGACGGCCTTCAGAGCAGATTAATCAGCCTTATCCTGAAGTTTAACGTGCGCAGCGTCATGACCTTTATAAAACCAGCTGGAAAAACAAAGCGTTAAAAAGTTTTCTTTAAAGCCGTTCACGATTACCTCAAACGTTAAACTCAGAAACCTTTCGAGAACTAGAATATGTTCTTGGAAAAAAACAAAACAGAAACTTATAAAAGAATATGTGATAAATACATAGTTGGTAAATTAAGTAGGAGGATGCAACATTTATACATTTAAAATGCTAATAAATCTCCAAAAACATGTTCTAATAATATACTGGTTTATTGTCTAACATGGTCTAAATCAGGAAAAATTAATGAATTTTTAAACACTTATGGATTTAAAAGGGTTTATATTTAGACTAATTAGTTAAATGCATTCTGTTAAGCCTTTAGAGATCTGATGATTAAAAGCAAAATAATAATATAACACACATCATTCATAAGGTTTCTTTTAATTTTTAGTACAGAAAAGAAAACCATTTAATTTTTTCCCCTTTTGTCCTTCATGTTATTTCTCTCTAAAATCTGACATTTACAACACAAAAATATAAATGTTCTTTTCTTAATTAAATGAAATCACCTATGATTTGAACATTTCACAAAGCCCCTCAAATGGATTATATTAAAAGGTAAGATAAAGTATTAGCTAATATTATAGCTAATATCAGCGAGTTTGCTTTATGAAGCCTGTGAAGATTTTTTTTAAATAATTCAGATTAAAAAAAATGTGTCCAATGACTCAAACATTTAGCTTTCAGAGTGAAACGTTACACCCGTGTGCTGTGATTATGGTGAGAATGAGAATGATCAGATTAGACGCGAGCTGAACGACTCACTTTGCATCGCCATCCTCGCCTCCTGATCTCAGAGCAACGACGATGGAGCCGACCTGAAAAACAGAGAAGGAAAGCGATGATTTCCCAGATCTCCTCGGCTCTGAGTCACGCCGACACATCTGACTCGGTGCCTCGTCTTTTCATGAACTCCTAAACATTCTGGCACGCTCTCTGCCTCCTCTGCACGAGGCTGTCATTTTAGTTTGTTTTTCCTCGTCTGCCAACTTGGACCCTCCTTCCCTGCAGCCCGGCACTCTGACCTGGAAACGACAACACGGAGCAGCAGCAGCGGCGGCAGCGGGAGGAGGAGGAGGGTGAGGTGAAGTGGGTGGAGACAGCTGCATGTCAGGAATTCTTAAAGGCGACCTTTGACCTCTGGCCCCTACCCATACAGCCGTGGGAGCAGCCTGCTGCTGACGTCTGGTAATCACTTGTCTGGTTTGGGCTTTAGTGTGAGAACGGTACCACTTTACAATAAGGCTCCTCTTATAGATGGCTAATAAATAGTTTATAGATACATTGTTAATTCCTCTATAAACACTTTATAAATCATTAACTGTTTATTATGCATTAATTAAGGGTGACAAAGAGACAAAACTGACACGTTTTTTGCCAAATAGTGAGCCAACTTTGTTCACCTATTAAATTTCTTATAGAGTTGTTGTATTAAACATTTCAGACTAAGTTACTACATTGTGAGCACAATAAGCATTTATGAACAGCATATTGCACTTTATCACTGCATTACAAGTATCTACAACTAATATTATATCCTAAAAAAATAATGTTTACAAATGCTTATTGTGCTCACAAGGTAGTAACTTAGTCTGAAATGTTTAATATAATAACTCTAGATTAAATATATAGGTGAACAGATTTGGCAAGAAAGTGGTCAGTTTTATCTCCGTCACCCTTAACTAACGCATAATAAGCAGTTATTAATGATTTAAAGTGTAACAGAGGAATTAATAACACATCTATAAACTATGAGCCTTATTGTAAAGTGGTACCGTGAAAACACACTCCGTCAAGCAAACCTCAAAGATGTGTGCGACGTAACCTTTCATTTTGAAAGTCACCGTTTTACGAACACAAAAGCGAGACGAACACATGAAAGTAGCCGCCACTTTTACAAACACGTTTTAAAAAATCTGAACGAGATGACTTCTGTTGTGAAGCAGCTCTAAATAAATAAATACATGAATTAAACTGAATTAAATGAATGTTGCCGCCATCTTGTGCATCAACAAAGTCTTAAACGCTGAGCTGGTGCTCAGAGTATGTGATGAGGGCAACTCTCAGCTGCCACCACAGCTAATTTTAGCTCAACAGTTGCTAAAACGGCTAAAATACAGCTGTTTATGTGTTAGCTAAGGTGAATTAGCGGTGGCGGCCATCTTGAACTGGGTTGCCTTTGGAAGTTAATCAGTTGTAGATGTACATCCAGAGATAACTTCCTAAGTGTTTCATTGAAATCTGCCAGCTGCTTTGTGAGATATTTTGCTAACAGACGCACAAACGTGCACATGCGAACATACTCAGACACGTGAGTTTACATGATCGCCCTCTTTTCATTACAGAGGAATTATTACAAATGCAGAAATGTAGAAAACACTCCGTACTAATGACCTTAAAATAACTGATTTATTGTTGATAATGATTCAAACGTGCAGCTAAAGAACTTCACACTTTAACATGCATTATATTTTTGTAAAATATCTGCTCAACTTACTTTCCAACTAATTGATTTATACATCATTAAATTTAACAATAATATTCCATTTTACATATTAAAGCTACGGCTAACGCTAGCGTCTGAGCATGGACGTTTAGCTGCTGGACAAACAGATAAACTCAGATTATTTATCTTTTGAAAACAAACAAACAGTTCCGACTAAAAACAATTAAAATTTGGGAAACTATAAACTTCAAAACTTGTCAGACGAGTTTGGGTCGACCCTTTTAAGTCTGACACGGCCTGATGAATTATTTAATCTGATTTTTTCTTGTAGATTAAATCAGGATTTCTCCTGCCCAAATTAGGATTGTATTCAGATTGAGGATTTATATTTATGATTTGTTACAAGCGTGAAACATCAAGTTAATTTAAAAACAGATATTTAAATGTTATTTTTTTCATTTTGGAATTTAAATAAAAATAATCTTAAATTAATTTAAAGATTGATTTAACAGGAAAGGGTTCAATTTAAAACTTTGAGCTGGCCAAACTTCATCTCTGAGCTATCAGTCATATAATCCATAATGAAAGGCGGGTGATCGTGTAACAGCCTGTGTTTACGCATGTGTGTTTGTTAGCAAAATATCTCATGAAAGACTGGGTGTATTTCAACAAAACTCTCCAGAGTCATTTTTGGGTTTACATCTGAGCCGATTACCTTTCGGAGACAACCCGAGTAAAAAATGTCTACACGTCAGTGAATTTCAAACATTGAGCTGAGTTTTAGTGTAGTAGCAGCTGAGAGTATTCTTTCACGGATTATGTTTTTTAGAAGTGGGTAGAGTAATTTCTGATTTAATTCCACAATATTATGAAATACACATGGATTCAGATTAGGATGTTCTTCAAAACTTCCTCTTCAGGAGCTCAGTTTGTGCAATTTTGTTCTTCAGATTGTGTAACGGCAGCCGTGCTCCTTGGTGCAAGTTTGCTCCACATCGCTGACATCAGCTAATTAACCTAAAACCAGCGGTACACTGACCGATGTCTCCATCGCTGAGGCATTGGAATAGTGAATGTTTGTAGTTTTCAAAACGAGTGTTTTTCTGGTCTGGAATTAAAGATATTCAAGTAGGTAGGAGTTATACTGTGTAAAAGAATTAAGTTTTTTTTGTCTGAGACAGTGCAATGGCGGAGCCAAAGGGTGACCAGTGGTGGCCTTGCCCACCAAAGATTAATCTTCAGCCACCACAAGGGCCACCCCAGTCATTAAAGGAGTCTATACTTTTCAGCAACATAAAACATAGAAAGCACAGTTTTGTCAAAGGATCAGCGTGGCAGGTGTATGTAGATATGTTTGTACGGCCATCTTGGATTTTGACTTGGGAACCTCATTTTCAATAAGGGATCTTTCTTATGCCTAGATGCAGACACACCAAACGAAGTTTGCATGCAGCTTAGTTATCCAGCTCACAATACAAAGGAAGTCCCCTCTTCACTCCACGATGGGGAACAAAACAATTATTGTTGCTACTTTTAACAAAAAACAGATTTTTCTTCTGCCGTGCTTCAATGTTTGTGCTTTGTTAAACATGTGCCTGCAAGTAAATCTTTGTTGATAAAACTTACACTTTGCATTGTTCGAGTGTCTGAAAAATGAACTCCAGTCGTTCCATTGAGGTTTTTTTAAGGTCTGCCTTCATCTCCTGAAGTAAACAACATTTCTGCAGCTTCAGTGACGGTCGCCACAGAAATTCCTTTGAATCCCAAAGAAATGTGTGTTTCTAACGGCTGCCTGCCGCTGCTCGTGATATATGACAGATTGCACAACGCGCCCTGTGTTCTGCTCACAAGTGTTTTCAGATGTTCGGCTGTTTCAGCGTTCTTTGTTAAATCTACGAGGCTCGTTTCAGACATTACAGCTGAACAACAGTCACCCCTGAAGTCTGAAGTCTTCACGTTGTAGATTTAAATGTTACATTTTTACAATAAATAAAAATAAAAATGAGTCAAAAAGACTAAATCTCTCTTTCACTGACAAAGTGCGCAACAAAACCACCCAAAACTAAAATAACAACGCTGAGAGCTGAATGACTCGGCTCAAATCTGCTGAAGAAACTAAAAGCAGAACTCCGGCTAAAAGCTAAATGAAGCAAAATGTTAGATTTTAGCTAAATGTAATAAAACACTGGCAAAAATGATACTCAATAGGAGCAAAAGTCAGCTAAAAGCTAATAATGGCAAAAGATCTGCTTAAAAGTAGCAAAACGTAATCTCAAAGAAACCAAAGGTCAGCTAAATGCTAAAGCAGCAAAAGGTCAGCTAAATGCTAAAAGCAACAGAGTGAGGAAGTTTGAAGGTCATAGTTTGTTTTATGGTTTAAAATTTAGTTTTATTTCAAATGAATCCATTGGTGGGCCGAACTGAGCCCATCCGTGGGCCTGATTTGGCCCCCGGGCCGCCAGTTGAATAGCCCTGCTCTAACCTCCGTTTACACTGATCTGTGAGCGTCAGTCAGTCCAGTTTCTGAGAAGTTTTTTTTTAATCATAATTTGCATAAAACAGAAAATAAACAGAAACATCAAAGTCCATCTCCTTTTGTCCCCGCTTCTCTTTTGTTGGATCAAAAACCTGAGAATTTGCAGATTTTCTCTGCAAACGCACGCCTTTCCCTCCCTTCATCGTCAAGAGACATTCCTGTTAGTTAAACCTGATATTCTTGTGAGGTTTCAACACGTTGATTTTACAGAGAAGAAGATGAAGCAGGAACTGCTCGGTGAGTTTGAGCTGCAGAGGCAGAAATCCCCGCGGGCCCCGCAGGGACTGTCGGTACTTGCAGCTACACGCTGCCCGACATGAAGCCCTGACTCATCGGCTCGCTGACAACTCTGCTCACAGTCGCCCTTCATTCTCACCTCTCTGTGAGGGGAGGCGAGGCTCTTCATTAACACACGCCCAACATCTGGATCAGGCAGCTCTGCTTCAGCTTTTCTGTCCGAAATGAAGAAGCGAGCTCGCAGTTTTCCCAGGTTGCAGTTCCTGTGTGTAAATCAGGGGCCGTGTTTGTGCAGCCTTTTGTTTCCCGGGGCGAGGCAGCGGGTTCAGTCAACTGTTGCAGCGCTGCAACACGCCCTGCTGCTGCCTTGGCAACATACAGACACTGTTTACCATTATCTCCTCCCATCTCATGTTTACTGATAAATGTTCCCTCAACGACCTCTCTCACCTCTCTCAACGCAACAGAGAAGAAAATCACCCAGAATTAAAAAAATTAAGATAAATAAATCAAAGTGAAATTAAAAAAGTTGGTAGATGTAGATAAAACCAGAGTGTTTTCAGTTTTCTGCAGCTTCCTGCTGTTCTGTACCTCAGACT